AAAGTGGAAGAGAGCGCCAGGTCCACAGAGCTGTCCGCTGACCTCCACACACACACTGTGGCATGTGCCACCTCCCATAGCATGTGTGGGCATACACCCACATACACAATAATAAATGTTTTTAAGAAGCCAGTTCTCAGACCAGTGGCATGGGTTTGCTTGGTGTATGTAAGGAATGAAGTCTTGCCTTACTGTTTGGTTTTGCAGGGTGTGGTGTCTTTAACATTTCCCAGAATTGATCAGTGTTTTGGTTTGGTAAACATCAATGCCAAGAATGCCACTTTGACTAAATATACAGTACAAAATGGAAGGGAGTATGCTTAGGCTCATTTCAGAAGCTGGGAAAATGTGCCCAAATCCCAAACTAAAATTTAGTGTGTGTGTGTCTGTGTATGAAACGTAAGGGTGCAACTCAAAATAAAAACTTTTAAAGTCAAACATTCTAGCACAGTACAGAATAAAAATAACTTGGTACTTAGAAGCTGAGGAATGACAGTAGGAAAAGACTCTTTATTTTCATAAGTAAAGCAGAGAACTGTACATAAAATAAGGAAAATAACACCCCCTCCAACCATAATCTACAGTGGGGGCAAACTTGAGCTGAAGTGTTTGAGGCAGTGTTCGCTGGCGCTGTGGAGAGTGACCGGCTGCCAAGTGAGAATGTCAGAACCAAGGTCGCCTTGAAGCCTCCTGATGCCTACTGGGATACAGAAACACCTCAAAGTCCTTATGCATTTGATTTGAATTAATTTTTGATAATTGTATATTCAGAAGCCTTTTCCTGCTGCCAGGTTTTTTTTGAAAGCCCCATATTTAGTTATATAACCCGTGTAAGGTTGAGACGCACAGTTGAAGAAGCCGGTGCGAAGCTGGATTTCATCCATATTGTAGCATACCAGGAATTAGTAAATTACGTATATGTATCACATAATTTCACATACACTTAGAGCTTGTATTATAGTAGTATCATAGAATGAGCTAGTCCTATTCTCTTCAAAACTTTGTTTACCCTTTTGTCACCATTGATCATTTAGTAAACAGAAGTCTTTTCATTGTTTTCTAGATTTAAAAACTTTTCACTTTTAGTCTCTTCAGTCACCATTGGTCAGCTAGAGGATGTCGCTTGCTTTTTGTGTCTGTATGCTCTGAATTCACTTGTTGGCTTACTTAGATTCTTGTCTGAGAACATGTCCAATATAGTGTCAGCTCTTAAAACCGGCCGGGACTTGACTTGTGCACTGCGGCATGGTGAGTCTCGGGAGACGTGTGCCACTCAGCAGTCTGCTGCTGTTGAGCAACACCATCTCTACATGTGGCAGAGCATTTGCTCTTTGCTTAAACCCCAGTGTCCCTTGTGGGTTTTCTTTCTGGCTGATGTGTCCACTGAAGAAAGTGCGGTGTTTGAATTCCTGTTGTTACTGGCTTAGAATCTCTCCCTTACATCAATCATGTTTGTTTTGCATATGTTGGGGGTCACATGTTTGGTATGTATATTTTTGCAGTTTCTGTGTCTTTTTGTTGTATCACACACACACCCTTTATGCACATTGGTATTTTGCATGCATATATGTCTGTCTGAAAATGTCAGATCTTGGAGTGACAGACCGACAGGGATTTGAACAGGGGTCTTCTGGACAAATAGTCAGTGTTCTTAGCTGGTGAACTATCTCTTCAGGCCCAATCCAGCCTTTTTTTTTCTTTTACAGCAACGTTCTTTGTCTCACTGCATTATGTGATTTAAGGTCTGCTCTGTCTGGTCTGGTGGGGATATCTCACGTCATGCTTTCTAACTTCCCCTAGATAGTGTGCCTCTTCACTGAAGTGAGTGTCCTCATAGGCAGCACATAGTGGGCTCTTCCTTTCTCTTTTAATCACTTAGCCCATCTGTTTACTTGGATTGGATTTAATCCATTTAAACTCAAGGTTACTATTAATAATCATGAACTATTTTCTGTCATTTCGCTAATTGTGTACTGCTCACTGTGTGTGACTTTTTCTTTATGATTTAGCAAGTCTTTGTCATGCTAAGCTTTAACTTCTCTTCTGTTTATCTGTTCTTCTAGTAAAATTTATAACCTGCATTGTCATGACAGTATTTCTTGAATGGCTGACTCAGTAGGGATGAGTTTCTTCAGATTCTGCTTATCTGACTTAATTTCTTCAGATTTTAAAGGATAGTTGTGCTGGGTACAGTATTCTTGGTTGTCAAGGAATCTTTTTTCTTTTATTATTTTGGCTGTGTTGTCTCACTCCTTTTTGGCCTATAAGCTTTCTTCTAAGGACTCTGTTGCAAGAACCTGCTCTAAACCTAATGGACTTTAATATGACTGACACTTTCTATTTTTAGGATTTTCTTTTTGAATTGTACTGTTGATATTTTGATTATAATGTGCTTAGGAATGGTCTGATTTGGTTCTCTAGTTAGAGACTTTCGAACATTTTGCATCTGTATAGATATATCCCGGAGAAGATTTGGGGTGTTTTCAGCTCGTATTTTGTGAAATAGGTTATTATTACTATTACTACTGTGAGTATTTCTGTATGATGAGAGGGTGCCCACATGCCAGAAGACAGCTTTGTACCATTGGTTTTCTCCTTCCACCTTTACCTGGGTTCCAGGATTGAACTCAGGTGGTTAGGCTTGCAGTGACAAACGCTGTACCCACTGAGCCATCTCATCAGTCCCCAAAATGGGATTTATTACTTATTTCCTTTTCTTTACTTTCCAGAATCACCGTGATACAAGTATTTGTTTGCTAAAAGTTTCCCATATGTCTCAAGGTCTTCTGTCTGTCTGTCTGTCTTTTTTAAAAAAGATGTATTTATTATTTATACAGTATTCTGCCTGCATGTGTGCCTGCATGCCAGAAGAGGGCATCAGATCTCATTATAGATGGTTGTGAGCCACCATGTGATTGCTGGGAATTGAAGTCAGGACCTTTGGAAGAACAGGCAGTGCTGTTACCCCCTGAACCATATCTCTAGCGCCTGTGTTTTTTAACTAGGTTAATTCTAAAATCCCTGCTTGGTTTTGGTCTATTGTGGAAGTATTGTCTTTTGTTTTTCATTGCATTCACTGACCTTATCAGTTCTAAGGGTTCCCATTGGCTCTTTTTTGTCTTTTCTGAATTTTTCATTCAAGTCCTAAATTGTTTTTCTCATTTCTTTATGTTGCTTTATATTTCCTTTTATTACCTCTTGTATCTTACTGTTTTGTTAGGAATGCTCTTCTCTGCACCTCATACTATCCCTTCAAAATGAGACCATTTCTGGAGAATTCTGTTCTTTATAGTTCTGTGTTTGTTTTGCATTCCTTGTGTCCTTGTGTTGGTGTCTGTGTGACTGGTGTGTGTGTTTGCCTCTTCCGAGCTTGTGAAGGACCTCCCATGGGAAAGATGGGGCACAGGGTGCCATAGTTTGTGTTTCGGTGGGGCATAGGATGCCATTCAGCTTGTGTACTTGGGGTTGGTTACAGAGGGCCCCCACACAGTCTTCAAACATTTTCTCCTCTAACTAATGCCAGCATGGCTGTGAGCAACTCTGCAGTCTAGACTGCAGCCTGAGGAGACTTGTGTGGCCTTGCTGTGGGGGTGAATGTCCAGAGGCGTCCTCAGAGTCTGGCTGCAATGGCACTTTGGTGGCAGCCGCTTCTGCAGTCTTGGTGACAGTGGAATGTGGAGAGGATTGTCTTTAGGTCTGTCAGGACAAGTGCGGGTGACAAGGAACACCACAGTGGCCACAGATTCCCACAAGATCTTCCCCGGAACTCCAGGTTTCTGTGGGAGATGCCCGGGCTGTGGCATGGCAGTCATGGTTCTGGAGACAGACGGTGGACACAGGTGAGCACGGTGGTCCTGGGGCCAGTGGCTTCGAAGGGTTTGGAACCCAAAGGAGACCCTCTGTGGATCTGACCGTGTGGCTCTTACAGCTGCCGTTGGTGTTGGCGAGCCGGGGAGGAGGCCGGCGCAGGTGGCCTGAGTTGTAGCCTCCGGTCCCAAGGGGACTCCCACCAAGCAGGGCACACACTGACCCAGGGCTTCTGCTGGGCCAGGCATTTGGCGGCTACCTAGGGCTGCAACTAGCAATGGCAGGTAGGGTAGATTTTTTGGGTTTGGGGGAGGTGAGTGCCCTCGGTGAGGCAGAGGTTTCCCTGTTAGGCCGACCAGCTGCAGGGACGGGGTCTAAAGCTGGCGGAGCCCTGAGTCAGGACCACTGGGCTGCTGGGCCAGGTTCCTGGAACCTTGCTACCTCAGTTTTTAAGGCCCTGTTGAGAGAAAGAGAGAGGGAGAGAGAGTTTCTCCTTCAAATAAGAAGGTAGACATTCAGAGTCATAAGAAACTACCCAAAGAACAATTTGAGAATCAAATCAAAATCTTTTGGTTTTGAGACAGATCTTCATTGTGTACCACAGAGCAGACCTTGAACTCACTCCATGGCCCAGACTCATTTTGAACCCATAGCAATCCATGTCAGTCTCCCAAGTGCCGAGGTCACAAGCCAATTTCCTAATCCTACAACAGAAGTTCAAGATCCTAATACTGTCTGCTTCCTATCCACCCAAACCAGATAGTCTGAACTTGTTTCATGTGATTGCAAGGCGGCCTTTGCCAGAGGAGCAGTGAGGAAGCATGAGCCTCACACGGGACAGCAGGGCTCGTGGTGTGACGCTCTAACAGAGTCAGACATGCGCCCCGTGGAGCTTATCTTTGATTTGGACAAGCCACCCTCCTTCCTGGTAAAGGTGTCTGAGCCAGATGAATTCACCAGCAGCTGGATGAAGATGAGGCTGTGCGCGTGCAAAGTGGGGCGGGCGCTGTAAGCACCCAGGAGTCCATTTTGTCCTAAAGAGTGTGTTCTCATTAATTAGCTGTCTCTTGGCAAGCGCGGTTCTTGACCTTGACCTGTGCTGTTTCTTCCAGCAGCAAGCAGTTTAGGCTCGTGGCCGTGTCGAGGGCAGGGGGATGCAGGCAGCCGGCATCATCTCTGGTGCTCTCTTGCAGGTGTTCACCCTGCTGTGGATCGCTGACTGGATGGTCCATCGCTTCTGGAGGAAAGGAAAGGACCCGGACAGCTTCTCCATCCCCTACCTGACAGCGCTGGGCGATCTGCTAGGGACCGCTCTGCTGGCCTTAAGTTTCCATTTTCTCTGGCTTATTGGAGACCGAGATGGAGACGTTGGAGACTAATGGATCCTACAAGCTGTTTCGGGGTCACCCAGAAGGAGAACACAGGCCGCCTCTGCTGCCCCTGCCAAAGCTCTGCATCTGTCACGTGACTTATGCCGGGCAGTCTGCGGTTCACCCTGACTCCATAAAAGGCCTTAATGTACTGCTTAAGGGATTTGTGCTGAAAACACAATGAATGGTATTTGTGCTGCTTTTTGTAGATAAATAATTTGACACAGACATAGACACAGAAATAAAGCTCACACTTTAAAGTTAATTAGGAAAGAATATAGGATGTTTACAATGAATAATTTTGAAACCACAGACCTAGTAGAAATAGACTTTATTATTAAGTTATAATGCAAGGTTAGAGCAAGGAAGCTTTCGTCTTCTTTGTCTCACGGCTGTGTCATGCTACAGAGGGGGCTGTGAGTGCTGTGTTGGGAGTGCTGCCAGCTGAGCTCCCTGAGCATTAACTGTGCCCTCCTCCATGGGTGCGGAGGCCACCACTTACTCCTCACTGACAAAATTCATTCTGCCGAACCTAACAACGAACTTTCTTTTGCCCGTATCTAAACCTGCGCTGTGCCAGTGTTCATTTCGTTTCAGCTCTGAAGTTCGCAACAGGTACCCCTTAAGTAGATTTTCTTGTCCTTTTTCTGAGATGGGACTTGCCATGTTGTCCTGGCAGGCCTTCCGCTTGCAGTCCTCGAGCTTCGGTTTCCTCCTCTTGATTCTGAAAGCACTGAGCCATTTTGCCCATTCGTGTGTTGAAAACTGCTAATCCGATTTAGAAAACAGTCATCAAAGCAGATCAGTTGAGCTGCATTTGTGGCACAAGATGGTACGAGGGCCTGTATGCATACCAGAGTGTGTGCGTGCGTGTGTGCGAAGAGAGAGAAATGAGACAGAGACCAGAGAGAGAGACAGACACAGAGAGAGGGACAAAGTGATTTCTTTTTCAATACTAAGTACCATTTAACATAATGCAGACCTAAGATCTGGGAAGAACAGGTGGCCATTGTCTGCTAAGGCTCGCCGCCTGTCTGCGCTCCTCCAGAGGAGCTGGCGGCTTAAGTCAGCTGTTGATCATGGCTTCATCTACCGGGACCATCTCCCATACGTGGCTGCATTTCTCATATTTTCCTGAAACTTCAGCCATATCGTAAGCACCTAACACATGGCTACTCGGTAGTAAGCACTTTTAGATCACTTACCACTTTAAAAAAAAAAAGCTGTGCAATCTTTCAAGATGATTAAATATTTAATAACTTAAACTGCTGAGAAATAAAATGCACATGGCGTTGATTGTCATGGTGCGTTTGTGTTATTGTGTAACTAGCAGGTGGTTTGTAAATATATTGAGGAAGTATTCTTAAGTCTTTGTGGAGGCTGTGGTTTAGAGTTACATATTTTTGCTTATTTTTAAACTTCATTCAGTTCTACTGCCTTATAATCAAACTTTTAAGGCATAGAACTGAACTAATTATGAGATCTCTCTTTTGGAGAGTTACAGTGTCACAGAGTAGACATTCTGACAAAATAAGCATAAAGTTTAAGTTGGTGAATACTTAGGTGCAAAGATTATTTTATTTTTTAAATAATTGATGAATAATACCTTTCATTTTATTATAAGGCATTTGTGGAAGTGGGCTCTGCATTTGGGCTGCACGTTCTTTTTTTTGAGACAGAGTCTTGCTCTGTATCCCAGGCTAGGCTTAAACTTGAGATCTGCCTGCCTCCGCCAACTGTGGTTCATTTTCTCTAACACACACACACGCACACATGCATACACACACATATACATACATATATACACACATACACATAGACACATATACATACGCACAATATACACACACATACATACACACACATATAGACACACACACACACACACACACACACACACTGCAGAGGAAGCCCGAGTGTTAGCGCTGGCCAGCAGTGTTAGGCTGCTGTTACTTATTCTGGAGCACATAAATGGTGTTGCCAGCACTATCTTTTCGAGTTGGACAGAGAGTCTCCTGTCTGTGTTTTATAGCAGGGGCCATGGAAATGCAGAGGAGTGACATTTTTAAGATTGCACAACTACAAAGTGGCCAGACTTCTAGACCAGTATCCCTGGTTATGCTCATCTGTGTCCAACCCCCACGTGTGCAGAGAATACCCAGTAGGTACCCGAGAGGAAGCCAGCTGGAGGAAGTCCAGTCAAGTGGCACTGGTTGCTTAGATTGTCAGCAGGGAAGCCTCCCCCTGCTGTGGAGCAGCTCGGAACTATTTGTTCCTAAGGTTAGAGAGACTGTGAATGAAATAGTGAATATTTACCTTATAAAATATTTTCCATTCTATGACAAAGACTTTTAGACTAAAGAACAGCACCTCATTTCTTAATGCCTCTAGAAGCCAACCCTCTTCCTAGATCTGTGTCAGGTGGGCGGCCTCGGCCCAACCTTTGTCAGAACAGAATGCCTAAGATGCATGTGACGGGAGAAGTTGTCTTTAACGTTTCGTTAAAGACAACTACAGATCGCTGAAAGTGGCCGTGGAAGTGCGTAAGTCTTATTCACCCGTAACATTTATTATCAGTCTTAGGTAAACAAACAGTATTTTTATACCACACACAACCCTGCTTTCCAAAACTTTTTCCACTAATTTACCAAGTCCATTATACACACAGCTAAACAAATCATATTTTTTTATTCTTGACCATCTACTTTTGTTGAAATTTCCAAAGTTTCTTAGAAGCCAATAAAAGAGAAACACATGGTAGTGTATCTTGTGGAGAAATCAGAAAACCTCACACTGTAGAGACGCTCCATGATGTGGCCAAATGAGTCTTTTAAAAGTCTCTTAGTGGCGGGTGGACCTACCCTTCCTATGTCTAAGGTGTAGTTCACCCACCGGTAGCGGGTGTGGGCACCTTGGGATTGTTGTGAACCCAAGTCAAAATAAAGCCTGAGAAGCATATTCTCTCGTCCTTGTGGTTTCTTTTCCAATTACTGTCAGCGATGGAACAGCGATGATGTGTCTGAAAAGCTCACAGCAAGGTGCAGGTGGCCTGCTCCTCTCCCCCCCCCCCCCCCCCCCCGCTTACGAGACACAACCCCCCCCCCACGGCCCCCGGGCCCCCCCCCCCCCCCCCCCCCCCCGCCCCCCGGGTTTATGAGACACAGCAGCTAGGCTCTGGTACCAGCCACACCACCAGCCCCTGCTTCATGCTGCTCTGCTTGTCTGTCGAATGCTGCTGCCTCCCCCCCTCCCATCATCATCATCCACTTGAAGCGCTGGCTCCATCGTCTCTTCCAGACAGCACCTGCTTCTGACTAAACAGCTCACATTCTCTCCTCCCCTCTCTCCCTCTCCCACTCTCTCCCTTTCCATCTCTTTCCTCTCTCCCCTCCCTCCTCTCTCTGCAATGTGACCTGTGGAAGACAGGTGCACCTTCTGCCCCGTCTCACATCAAGTGACCTTCAGTGGCAGGCAGCTGCGTACACTTGGTGTTATCACTCGCCCTTGGGACAGCCACCTGCCCCCGCCAGTTCAATGAAAGTGCACTCTTCCAGGTCACCAACAGTCTGTATTGTGCCAAATCTAGCAAGAAACAGACAACAAAGTGGGGAATTAAGCATTCCCTAATTACATGGAAGAACGTTTGTCATTCTTATAACTTGTCATTCTTCTAACTCTGCTTCTGAGATCTGCCCATGCTGTGTTCCCTACACTGCCAGAATCTCCTCTTCCTGTTTCCCTGGTTCTTCTCAGCCTCTCAGTGTTGGGATGCTGACCTGTGTCTCCTTAGAGTCTGCTTTGTTCCCCTAGCCCTCCCACATCATCGTTACATCATCTATGCTAATTCCTAACTCACCTCCGTCGTCCCAGCCTCTCCATTGAGTTCCCCATCTATACTTCCCAAGGCCTGTGGACAGTGCCATCTCTTAAATGACTGACAGCTTGGCATCACAGGCGTTTGAACATCACCCACCAGACCTCATTGTTCCAGCAGCCCGCTGTAGCCAGCAGCTGCAGAGTACATGTTAAAGACTGCCTTCCCTCAGCTGTGAAGAGCTGTGTAAGTCAGGAAGAGAACAGTGATTGGGAGTAGAGCAGCCCACGGGGCGGGGAGGAGGGATCTCGGAGACAAGCAAATGTAGGTGCCCAGTCTTTAAAAGCAGAACAAGGCGAGGGATGGGGAACTGGTGGTGTGATCTCAGCACTTGGGAGGTGGAGCAGGAGGATCAGGATTGCAGCTAACTTCCTCAGCCTTGGAGACATGAAACCCTGACTCAAGAACAGAACACAAGGACTGAGTTCTCTGCCTTTTCCTGTGGCCTGATGGGACAGTCCCATTAGGGGGAAGAGATCAGAAAGCAGGCAACATAGTCTGTATCTGTGATCTCACCCACTCCTCATTCGTGGTCACAGGAAGCCTGAGCTGCCCATTGGCTACATATATGTAAAGAACCTAGATCCCGTCCATACCTGGTCCTTGATTGGTGCTTCAGATTGCACAGGCCTTGCTAGGCCCTGGTTCCTTGCCTCTGTTAGTGGTCTTGTGGAGCTCATGGGCCCTGCTGGGCCCTGGTTCCTTGCCTCTGTTGGTCTTCTTGTGGAGCTCCTGTCACCTCTAGGTCCCTTTATTCTTCGCTCCTCTTTCCCACTAGACTCCCTATGCTTCACCAATGTTCAGCTCTATCTTTTTCCGAACCTTTGCTGGGTGGAGCCTCTCAGAGGACAGCTCTGATAGGCTCCTGTTTGGGAGCATAGCAGTGTTAGGGTTGATTTTCTTCCATGGTGGGTCTTGGGTGGGCCTGGCATTGGTTGGCCCTTCCCTCAATCTCTGAGCTAACTCTTCTGTCTTTGTCTCTGCAGGCCTTATAGGCAGGGCAAGTTTTGGATCAAGGTTTTTGTGGGCGGGCTGGGGTTCTCCTTGGTACACTAGGAGCCTTGTCTAGTTCAGGGGTGTCCTCTTCAGTCTCCATGGCTACTAGCTAGAGTCCCCCTCATACCCTCCCAGAGGCCTGTTCTGACTTAGGTCTGCAGCTGGTCACAGAGATGCCCCCACCCAGTTTCTCTTTTCTCTGCAGGCCCTCTGCCCTGCCAGATGAGCTGGGGTGTGTAGGTGGGGCTGGAGGCTCCCCTAGGATTCAGGACAAAGGGTGGAAATGGGAGGAGAGGAAGGGCCTACGACCGAGATGTAAAATGAATAAACAAATTAATTTTAAAAGGACTCAAAAATAAAACATGAAGTAGAGTGATCCTTAGATACTGTGCATTACCTATCATATTGGCAAAAACTCAAAACTGAATAAAATGTGCTCCGGCAAGGCTGTAGGGAGGTGGACAGAATCGACGGTAGTAGAAATGGACGGTAGACAGGCTACAGAGGTCATTTAAACAAAACCACAAATACACTTGCCATTTGATTGTCCAGTTTCCCCATTACCTCTGAACAGGTAATAATAAAGCACCTGCCTCTGCCCTGTGACGGTACTCTGCTTGTTGCCTGCCTGTCTCAATTAAGTTCTACTGGAATACATTTGTGGCTACTCCAGTCTCCACCTAGGACCGAGGAGCAGCTAGAAACAGCACAGCTTGGCCCTTTAACAGCATGCTCACCATGCCCTTGCCTCAGAGAGCTCCTGCCAGTGGGGCCAGGCACCCCCTGGGGAGGACCCCCAGCCTGGGACGGCTCCCTTCCACAGCTTATAAGACATAATGTAAATATCTATTTTCTGACGGTCTTAGCCAGCCCCCAAAGTGTTTGTGACCCACAGGTTGAGAAGCACTGTTCTACACGCATGCTCTAACAAGCCAAAGGTTAAGTGTAAGTCATCACGATCCCAGAGACACCAATGAGCACATTCTTGGGTACCTACTCTGTGCATGACTGTACTCTGACTACTCAGTACTGGAAGCCAGGACTGATGGGGGTGATGGGTGCTGGACAGAAGCACTTTTGAATGAACAGTCTTAAGGAAATGCAAGACAAAAACAAAAAATCTATTTGGTTTTTAACCAAGCAGGTTCTGAAGTGCTGTGGCAGTAGTGATGGGGCTTTCTCTCAGTGGAAATAGGAAGTTAGGCAGACATGGCGCACTTGACAAGGAGGAAAACACAAAGTACGCGCTTGGGGCGCTGAATCCTCACTTGTGCTACCTGGACAATACTCCAGTGCAGGAGTGCCTCTCCTTAGGTTTATTGTCGGGGGTTGTCTGGTGCTAGATAGTCTAATGCTAATTACTGGCCTCCAAGATCTGGTCGCTGCCCTGAGGAACACAGTCTCACACACACCTGACTTTGTTATGTAAACCTTGCTCTACCTAATTTGATTGGTTAATTAAAAAAAAAATGCTGAAGCCTGGGCAGGACAGAAATGAGAGGCAGAGCTGAGGTTCAAGGGCTTAGAGGACAGAAGGATCATGGGAAGGAATGGGACAGGTATAGGAGGAGGAAGCTGAGTCATGTGGGCCGGGTGAAGGCCTGGCATGAAGGGCCTGGCCCAGATGAAAAGCATGCACAAGTATTTATGGAGATACTGGGTGGAAGTATCCCACATAGGAATGCTTGCAGCAAATGGCATAGACTGTGGGGCTGAGAGGTAACAGTTACCTCAGGGATCAGGGAGTAATATCTATCCAGCCCCAGGCTTACTTAAACACAGCAGGTGTCTGAGTCTTTTATTGGTATGGTAGTGGGTTAATAATAACTGATGTAGTAATTTTAGGCTTTTAATAGTAAGCATTATTAGACATATTTATATTTTCTACAGCAGTTTATTTAAAGCGGGCCCTCCCCAAGCCCCCAAAATGGCATTGCTGCTGAGAGTGTCATGGGTTGCAATTTGGGCTTCACTAAGGCTTGATGGGCTGACTGGGAAACAGGATTGCTATTTAAACTCATCATTCCTCAGAAACCTCGTGAAGGGGGTCTTTGTTTGCCAGGAAAAAAAAACATTACTTTCTTTTCATTTTGTTTTTAAGACAGGGTTTCTCTGTGTAGCCTTGGCTGCCCTGGACTCACTTTGTAGACCAAGCTGGCCTCGAACTCAGAGATCTGCTGTTACAGGTGTGCGCCACCGGAGCCAGCTGCCATCATTACAACTCCCTATCTTGGGAAAGGAGCCTAGCTCTTTGTTAACTCAAACAAGCCTTCTGGAGATCAAACCTCACCCTAATGCCCAGGCTGTTCCAGATAGCTCGCCTAGCTCCTGCTCCAACACAACCCCTCGTAACTGATGGGGCTCTCCCACCACTTCTCTTCTGTCTGACCCTGAAAGCTAGCCTTGGCAGTTTGGATAAACTTCTCCAACCGCAGGTGGTCTAATTGGGCTCACCGCAACCTGGCTTACCCCTCTTTTCTCCCTGTTACATTACAGTTTCAGGGATAATGCACTCCATACGAGCTCAGGGAGTCTGTAAAACAATGTAAGATCACATGGTGTGTTAGGACAGGGTCTCTGTGGAGAGTGTTTGCCCAGAAGCCCCCTCTTCTAGGGGCCCCTTGCACATATACCCGATTCTGAGTGTCCCCAAACATACAGCAACCTACGTCAAGGCTTATGATAGCAAAAGAAAACAACAGGAGGCAAAAGGATGAGCATTGTGTTTGTAAAATGCTGTGCTGGGCACTCCAAGACACTAAGGGTTAAAAAAAGCTTGGGATAGAATAGAAAGTAGTCTCCCATTGTGTGGGACTGAAAAAAACATCAGAAGGAAAATAATAGCCTTAAGAAAAGTCATCCCAGGGAGGGAATGCAACACAGAGTGAGTGGGCACACGGGGCAGAGGACTTGCCTGTGTGTGCTTTTTCAGGTCTTTTGGATTTTAAACTCTGTACATGTATTACTTATGTAAAATGCCTTTTAAATGTTTTCTTTGAGCTACAGTCTCACTGTGTAGCCCAGGTTGGCCCGGAGGTGTATGTAGACCAGGCTGGCCTCCAATTCACAGAGCTCTGTCAGCCTCTAC